CCCTGTCTTACAATTCTGTCTCCCTTCTGCTTCCCAGTGTCTTACACCTACACCTTTATGCTTATGTTGTCAAGGTTGACAGTATTCTTTCTGAAATTTTGTAATCTGTTCTGAAACATTACTAAGATCAGTCTATGGAATGATTCTGAACATTGAGGATCAGTAATCAATACATAGTATTTAATTCTATAAATGTTGTTCATAGCAGAATGGACTAATACGTTAGTATTAAATTTCCTTCTTTATTGGTTCATGTTAAGATCAGAGTGACTCTGAGAGGAAAATTTTCTTACAACCAAATTAAGAAGGACAGTCTCTCTCTTCTCTCTCTCCCTCCCACCCCTTTCCTTCCTCACCTTGCTCCTTCTCACTCAGCCTGACCCCACCACCCCAGTAGGATGTACCGAAGCTTCCAAGTTTTCTCAGTTTTCAGTCATTTCGTTTCATCTGTCCCTTCTTACTTCTCTCTGGAGTCTCCCCTCCTAATCTGGAGTAGTTAACCCCTAAGGGCTCCCATGCAGTTATCAGTCTGGGGCTTCACCCCCTCTCTGTTCTCCTGTGTTGCATTCACTGTTTTCTGTGACACATTTCTCCTCTTTCTTGATTTACCTCCTTGTTTTGCTAGAGGTAAGATTTCTGAATCATCAGGTATCTGAAAGCTTCTGTCTCCCTCCTATGTATTTATCTGACTGTGTGGCAGTAAATAGCATCCACTTTAAATGGCTTTTTCCCCAGGATTTGTAGCACACTACTCCCCTGATGCCGGTCTGATTCCTGGACCCTTACAGGGATCAGTTTTTCTCTCTGGAGGCATTTACCATTTTCTCTTTGTTCTTGAAGTCTCAAATTTAACAATAATGCATCTAGATGTGGATGTTTTCCATTCATTACGAGGTTAAAGTTTTTACTGTGTTATATAAGACCCTCTCCTCTTAGCTCTCTGAACTCATCTCATTCTGCCACTACCTTCCTTCCTGTGCCGCTGCCACTACCTTCCTTCCTGTGCCGCAGCCACACTGGCTTCCGTGTTCCTCAGACATGGCCGGGGGGGGGTAGTCTTGGCACTGGCTATTCCTTTTGTACGGGATGCCCTTCACCTTACATATCTATATGGTCCACTCCCGTACCTCCTCGGGTCTTTGTTCAGTTGTCACTTCCTGAAGTGTCATTCTATTCTAATTATCCTACTTAAATTTGCAATCCCCCTCACCATCTGAGCGCTCCTAATCCTCTTACCTTGATTTAATTTTCTTCGTAGCACCTATCGCTAAATAAAAAATATATGCAAAATGTGATATTGTGAATATATATTTGATCTTGTTTATGGCTCCAGACCAGAGCTCATAAAACCCTTGTAATTTCCTAAGTGATAAGAATGTAAGAGTGATAGGAATGTCTTTTTTTTTTATTATACCTGGTTTTGGTAAGGGTGAAAGGAGCCACTTTTGTTATTCATAGTAAGCTCTTTTCAACTATACCTGAGTTTATGTTAATGAGGTGACTTTTGAACAGTCCCTAAGGATGGGGGACTAATTGCCAAGTTGCCAGGGGAGCCAACTGTGTAATTAGAGGGTTGGAACTTTCAGTGCCACCCTCTCCCCACTTTAGGGAGGGGGAGAGGGGCTGGAGATTGAGCTCAATCACCAGTGGCCAGTGATTTAATCAATTATGCCTGCTTAATGAAGCCTCTATAAAAAACCACCACTAAAGAGATATGGCGGGTTTGCAGGATGGAGAGAAGGTACTGGGAGGGTGGTGTGTCTGGAGAGGGCACAGGAGCTCTGCACCCCTCTCCCAGATTTTGCCCTGTATATTTCTTCCATCTGGTTGTTCTGAACTGTGTCTTTAAATAATAAATCAGTAGTGTAGTAAG